CTGGACTGTAGCAATGGCCTCCTAAATGCTCTACCTGTCTGCATTACCCTCACTGAGGCCAGGATGATTTTTGCTGTTCTAAAGCTTTCCATAACTGGTAGGATATAGACCAAAATCCATAACCAAACTGGCAAGGTACTGCAAGGAGGTAGCACCTGCTGAGCAATGCAGCCTCATCTTGCAATACTATCTCTTTTCTCTGAACTGCAAGTACAGTATCATTCTAAATGTTCCTCTAATAAGCCAAGCTCCTTCTGGCACAGGGTCTTTGCAAAAATTGTTTCCTCTACCTTGAAAGCTTTCCTCCTCTCCCTCTTTGCCTCATTAACTCATTAATTTCAGTTCAATCCATTTCCTCTGGAAAACGTACTCTGGTTTCCCTTATAATAAAGGTTGGATCCAGCTCTATTAATGTATGTCTCCCCTATGCTGTAAGCTCCATGAGGGCAGGGCCTTGCTTAGTTTTTGCTCTCTTCTGTATTGCTTGTGCCTAACAATTAAAAAAAAAAGTATATATATCACACAAAACTGTTGCTGTCAAGTCGATTCCAATTCATGACAACCCCATGCGTTACAGAGTAGAAGTGCTCCATAGGGGTTTCTTGGCTGTAATTTTTATGGAAATTTATCACTGGGACTTCTTGCAGCACCACTGGGTGGGTTTGAACTGCCAACCTTTAGGTTAGTAGCTGAGTGCAAACTGTTCACACTACCCAGGGATGTACATATTGGTGCTTAATAAATAACTGTTGAATGAATGAATGACATGATTATGTTCTTGGTGCAGGAGGGAAGAGAGAGTATGAGAGAAGGAAAAAGAATATATGGTAGGAGTGTAAGTAAAATGAGAAGGTAAGAATAAACATTGACCCAATATTAGAGTCAATAGGGTCAAAATTAATTATCACTTGATTGAACAACAATAGTAAAAACAGATGAATGAACTTTACAGTGTGACTCACTGTGAGGGTCAGTCATAAAAACTTTTATCAGAGAAGCCATGGACATGTGAATGTGTGTGTGTATGTGTAATTTTAGTCAATCAAATGTCTGCTTTCTCTTTTAGTTGCTGTCATTTATTCACTTAATGAATAATAGAATTCTAGACTGAACATAGACTTTGGTTAACAATTGTAACCAAACCAGTTTTGAACAATGCTATCTCACACAATTAACAAATAAAAAAATTATTTCCAATGTTCAACAGTATTTAAAACTATTTAGTGTCATACATTTAGGTATGAAGCTGGCTGCATCCCGTACTTGAAAATCAGTGGTTCAATGAAAACAGAAAGAGATATAGGAATCTACTTCCTAAACATGACAATGAATACTTACTCTAATTCAAGGGAAAATGGTAGACTTAATGGAAAAGTGATAAAACCATTCTTTTAAAAAACAAGAAAAGTTGCTTGTTATTAACCTTATCAATTAATATTGAACCGTAACGTAAGTTGTGAAGAAGAAATGCAAGGAATAAAACTAAAAAGGAAGAGGCAAAAAGATAATTTGCAGATAACATTATTGTAAAACTAGAAAAGCCAAAAATATTTGTCAAACAAAAGTTTTAAATAATTTTCAGTATTAAGATAATTAAATAATTCTTATTATTAGAATAATGAAAGAGCAGTTGGGCACGAAGTATGACCTGCATATCAGCAATAATTGATTAGAATATATAATGGATTATATATATTATCTATATAATGAATACGGAAATGTGTAGGAAGTACCTTAATTATAGCTACCAGTGACTTGAAGTGTTACTGAGAAATTTACAAAATAAACCACAAATAAATGAGACACCTTAATGTTCCTGGATAGGAAGACTTAATATTATAAAGATGTCAGTTTCTCTCAAATTTATTAATGGATTTGTTATAATCCCAATTAAAAACCCAAATAGCATTTTTTTCTTTAGCTTGGTAAAATTATTACAAAATTCAGCTGGAGGATTACCAGGTGAAATCATCAAAGAATTTTGTGAAAAAGTGCAATGAAAGTTCTAGTGGCCAAATATTAAAATATATTAAAAGCAACAAAAATTAAAATAACATGATGCTGGCTCCAAAATAGTCATGTATTTTAATAGGGAACAGAAAGAGAAAAGATGAGAATAGAAAGCCCAAAATAGTGTATTTCTTATAAGAATTTAATAAAGTTATCATGAGGCAATGGGAAAGGTAAAAATTATGGAGAAAATTATGTTGGATAACTGAACAGTAATTTTGATTAAAGTGGTGGTAGACTTATAGCAATGGCCCCCACAGAATCATGTTTCCCTCTATCTACACTCTTGTGTCTCTGGGCTTGTATACACCACAAAGTTTTGGGTGGTTTGTTATGCAGCAATAGATAATATATGCCACATACCAAAATTTATTCCGGACGGATGAAGAGTTAAACATAAAAGAAAACTAGTAGAAAATACAAGTAAATATTAGAAGTGTGCCGCTCTCGGATGTTTGCATGGCTAGCTCTTTCTTGTCATTCAGGGCTCAGATCAATGTTCCGTCTACAGAGAATTTCCCTGACCACCCAATGGAAGTAGTGTGCCCTTCTCTTGCAGTTTCTGTTCCTTTACCCTGTTTGTGTCACTATATGAATTTATTGTATTATTTTTTTCTTTTTTTTGCTTATTGCCTCCTTTCTCTTGGTGGAATGCAAGGTCTATGAGAGCAAGAACCTTCTAAGTATTTCTCATTGTAGTATCCTGACACATTATAAGCATTCAATACATATTTGTTAAATTAACAAATAAATGAAAGATATTCTGGTACTGTGTTAAATTTCTAAGCTTCACAAAAGGAAAACTTGAAGTTTGACGGTTGTTAGTTGCTGTCACGTCGATTGTGAGTCACGGAGACCCCATGTATTACAGTGTAGAACTGCTCCATAGGGTCTTCTCGGCTGTGGTCTTAACAGAAGCAGATCACCAGCCCTTTTCTTCTGCAGTACCACTGGGTGGGTTCAAACTGCCAATCTTTAGGTTAGCAGTCAGGTGCAAAACATTTGTACCACTTAGGGACTTCCGAAATTTGACTACTTAGCATTAAATATCTCTCAAAGTGCAAAAACAATAACAACAAAAAACTCAAATAAAATGGAGAGACAAAAGACTGGGAAGAGCAATAGCATAAAATATGGCAAAGGTTAATGTTACTTCTTTTAAAGATATCACTCAAAATCATTTGTAAAACATTAAGATAGGTACAGAAAATTTATATCACAGGACATACAAATAGTTTATAAACTCAAGGAAAGACATCAGATCTTGATAGTAATCAAAGAACTAGAAACATAACAACTTTGAGGTAACATTTTATACCTAGGAATTTAGAGGAAAAAATGGTATAATTTGGTGTTAGTCAGGTTGTGTATTCTGATGTCACTATAGATTTGTACACTTTGGAAAGCAACATAATTGATAGCAACAATTTTGTATATTTTGACCCAAGATTCCTATTCCAGGAAAATTATCCAAAGAAAATAATTTAAGAGATGAAAAAGTCAAATGCATAAAGATACTTACTATTAAAACTTGGAAACTTTACATTGTCCAACAGAGGGGCACTTATTTTGTTGAGGCATCAGTAATGGATAGAATATCATTGTCTTAGTTTGCTAGCGCTGCTGTAACAAAAATACCACAGGTAGGTGGTTTTAAAGAACAGAAATTTATTTTCACAGTTCTAGAGGCTAGAAGTCCGAATCAGGGTCTCAGCTGTGTTGATTTCTTCTGTGGGCCTCTCTCATAGTTTCTGGCATCTACCAGCAATCCTTGGTGTTCCATTGCTTGTAGAGGGGTCTTCACTTGGAATCTTTCTTCCTCGACTGTGTCTATTCTTCTCTTTTTATGACACCACTTAGAAGTAATGAAGTTTAGGACCCATCCTACTCTGGCACGACCTCACTAACAACAAAAGAAAATGCCTATTTGAAAACAGTTATATTTACAAGCACAGAGTTAGGACTTCAACACTTATTTTTGTGGGGGACATAATTTAATTCACAAGAATCACGTTACCATTAAATGTTAAAATTACGAAGTAGCATGGGAAAATGCTCACGTCATGCTAGGCAAAATGTAGAATTTACAATTGAATGCATACAATAAGAGAATGGAACATATAAAGCTCATCACATGCCAGGTGTTTCATACACCTAATCTCGTTAAATTCTCAGACTGTCTCTGAGATGGAAGCCGACTGCCACATTTTTGTCCTAGGGAGCTGCTGGTGGGCTCAAACCACCCACCTTTAGGTTAGCAGTGTCTCTTTAACCACTGCACTAGGAGGGGTGCTATGAGTTGGAATCTACTTGACCTCAAGGAGTTTGGTCTCTGAGATAGGGCTTAGCTCCATGATTACAGAAGAAAAAAACCGAGTAAACAAAAATTTCACTAACTTCCCCATGTTAATCCTTCAATAAGTGGTAGGCGCCAAGTCTTTAGTTGCAGCACCAACCCAACTTTGCTTCTACATTTTACCCAATTAATCATCCTCTTGTGTCAAAATGCTTGCTCCTCCTACCAGACCATGCTTCACATATTCAAACAATTAACATCACTATGCAAAAAGGGAAATAGCTTCTTAAAGTTTACAGGATCTCAGATTTTTCCTCCTCACCTTTCAAAATTTTCTTAAACTTTTGATCTCTTTTACAAGGCTAAAACTGAAAATGCAGTTAAAATAGAAGGTTGATACCCTTCATCTGGCGCAGTGGTTAAGCGTTTGGCTGCTAACCAAAAGGTCCGCAGTTCGAATCAACCAGCCGCTCCTTGGAAACCTACGGGGCAGTTCCACTCCGCCGTACAGAGTCAGTATGAGTCGGAATCGACTACACGGTAACGTGTTTCTTGCCCAGCTCCCCCTGACACTACAAAGCTGCGGAAGCGGGGACTCCGGGAGGGGGCAAAGGGCGGGGCTCGAGGAGGTTGGGCTGGCGTCGCAAAAAAGGGCCTTGCTGCTTTACGGCATCGGCTCCGCCCCTCCAGGTGGGGGAAGTCGGAAGTCGGCAAAGATGGCCGCCACCTATTGCCTCGACCGGGCTATGGCTGCCTTGGCAGTGCTGTTGCTGTTGTCCTTCGGCAGCGTGGCCGCTAGTCAGATCGAGGTAGGAGTCAGGTTCCTCTAAGCGGCCGGGTCTTGGGAGGGCAGCTGTGTTGTGGTTGTGAGCGCCCCAGCAGATATCCGATCCACAGCTGATGAGGGAATCCTCCTTGGAGTCAGCCTCTGACCCAGGCTGGACTCTTAAGCTCTTACGTGTGTGCAGTCTCTAGCAGGTGAAATACACAAGGGGCAGATGAATTGTCATTGCAGGAGTGCAGCAATTTTATTTTTGGCTCTGCCTCCCGCCCTCTTTTTAAGATTTGATCACAGGACGTTTTGGACCGCTGTAAAGCTTTAGTTATTGCTTCTACTATGAATATTCTTCAGTTCATTTCTACAATCTAGATCTTTAGCGTCAGATTCTGTCCTGCATATCCAGCTGGCGAAAGGATCAGATAGTCAAAAGACACTTGAAAATCTGTGTCCAAAGTTTTATCTTCTGCCTACTCTACCTCCCCTTTAAAAAAAAAAAAAAAACATAAAAAACTAAGCAGTCCTTTTCTCCTGCATTTCTTAATCCAGTATTGTTGCTCCTAAGTTGGAAACCTGGGAGTTTTAATACACTGCTCTCTCTACCCCACATTCTAATCATCACTAAGTTCTGTGTTCTGAGCCCTTCAAATTGCTTTCACCTCTCCACTGGCTTAATTAAGGCCCTGATCATTTCTTGCCTAGAGTATTGAAAGAACATTATCTGGTTTTCCCTAAGATTCCAAACTCCCTCACTTTGATGCTAGACTGGTATTCATAAAATGTAAACTGGATCAGAGTAATCTTCTGTTGAATCATTTCAGTGCAGCAGGATTGGTTCTTGCCTGCCTTTCTAGTTTTCCACGTTGGACCAGGGCCCTTGCCCGGCTTCCCCTCAGGACCTTGAGCTTAGACCAGTGGACTCCGCACTTTTTGGACACATACCCCAACAGTTAAAAGAAGATATTGATCATTCCCTCTCTCTGTGTTTGTTACTTTCTCTCTCTCTCTCTATATATATATACACATAAATTACTATTTATGATGAAATAAATATGAATAGGAGTTCTACTGTTTTCTTCCTTTATCCTAGTGGATTAACTTGCATATTTCATTTTGGATATCATTACTTTTTTTGTAGCTACATAATTGCTGTGCTTTTTTTTACATTATCTAATTCCTCGGTTTATTTACTAATATGCAGGCAGTAAAAGCATAACCTCTGTAGAACCTTTTCTATTCCTTAAACCTTTGCCTTTACTGTTGTAGTTTGTACACTTACCTAGTGTGTTTTTATATGCCATTGATTCAGTTCTGACTCATAGCGTCCCTATAGGACACAGTAGAACTGCCCCATAGGGTTTCCTAGGCTGTAAATCTTTACGGGAGCAGATCCGCAGGTCTTCTTTCAGTTTCTCAAAACTTTTCAGCTCCTTCCTGCCATCAGGGACCATTTTTTTCTCTATCTGGAATTGTCTTCTCACCTCTCTTCTTCTTTTGGATCTTAATGTTACTTCTTAAGGAAAACCTTCCTCAATCCCTCCAGCCCAGATCGGATCCTTCAGTTATAGGTCTTCATTATACTGTGAATCTTTTTTTGTAGAATTTATAGTTTGCCATTATCTACTTAATGTATGTCTATCCAACTGGACAGTTATCTCTTTGATGGCGAGTACTATGACTGTTTTTGCCCATCATCATATTCTGAGTGCCCAGGGAAGTCACTGGGACATGGCACACAATGAAAGTGATGAATGAATGAATATTACATTGTAGTGTAATGTGTCTGCATGCTAGTCTTCTTAACAAATTCTGTGATTCTTGAGGGAAAACAGCATCCTTTTTAGTGATTTTTTAAATCACTGTACTTTACATGGTTTCTGGCTCATAATAAGTGCTCCATTTACTATATGCAGAGTGAATGAGTAACTTTGCAGTGACTGTTGTCTAAGGAGTCCCTGCGTGGTGCAAATGGTTAACGCACTTGGCTGCTATCCGAAAGGTTGGTGATTTGAGGCCACCCAGAGGTGCCTCGGAGGAAAGTCCTGGCAATCTGTTTCCAAAAATCAGCCATTGAAAACCCTAGGGAGCACAGTTCTATTCTGACACCATAGGGTTGCCATGGGTTAGAATCGACCCATTGGCAACTGGTTTGGCTTTTGTTTTGGTTTAAATAAACATCACTAAGAATTTTAGAGCTGAAAGGGACATTGGAGATTAATTCGAGAAATTCTCATTTTGTACATGTGGAAAGTCAAGTCTGAAGAGTCACATGACTTACAACGACCTCACAGCTAGCTTGGGGTTAGGACCTAGGTTGAAATTCCCAAGTCAGTGGCCTATCCACTAACGACATTGTTTTCTTCAGCATTTAGGAGGTTGTTGAGAGGATTTGATTATATGTGTGTGTGTAGCCCTCATGGCGCAGTGGTTAAGTGCTTAGCTGCTAACAAAAAGGTCAGTGGTTTGAACCCACCAGCTGCTGTGTGGGAGAAGGATGTGGCAGTCTGCTCCCATAAAGATTTACAGCTTTGGAAGCCCTATGAGGTAGTTCTACTCTGTCCTGTATGGTTGCTATGAGTTAGAATTGATTCGATGGCAGTGCATTTGGTTTTGGTTTGGTGTTTGTCAGAAATACACACACAGAGACTTAGGTGAAATTTTTTTACTTCATTCTACCTGATATTTTCTTGTGAGCTGAAAATTATAATAGCTAACATTTGTTTGAGGTCCCTGGGAGGTGCAAATGGTTTGCACTTGACTCCTAACCTAAAGGTTGGAGGTTCGAACCCACCCAGCAGCACCACGGAATAAAGGCCTGGCAGTCTGCTTCCATAAAGATTACAGCCAAGAAAACCCTATGGAGCAGTTATACTGTCTAACATGTGGGGTCACCGTAAGTCAAACTTGATGGCAACGGGTTTAACATTTGTTATGCAATTACAATGTTTCAGTCACTATTACTACATTCTGTGAGTCAGGTAATATTACTACCATTTTATAGATGGGGAAATGGAGTCACAGAGAGATTAAGCAACTTTCCTAAGTAAGTAATAGAGCCTAGGTTTGAACCCAGGCAGTCTGATTATCCGACTAATAGCGACCCTATAGGACAGGGTAGAACTGCCTCATAGGGTTTCCAAGGCTGTACTCTTTTACGGAAGCAGACTGCCACATCTTTCTCCTGCAGAGCAGCTGGTGAGTTTGAACTGCTGACCTTTTGGTTAGAGGCTGAGTGCTTAACTGCTGAGACGCCAGGTCTCGGAATTGACTTGACAGCAATAGGTTTGGTTTTGGGTTTTAGTCTGATTATTCTAGTAATTAATACTGTTTGGGAACAGATCTGGAGTCAGTATGGCTTACATCCACTATTTTTTTAATAATTAAAGGCATGTTCATTAGGTGTCAGGATGGCATTGGATGCTGAAGTTTCTCATGTCTCAAGATGGCAAATGTAATTCAGAATTACTTTAACAGATTAGTAAAATGGTACACAGAGGTGCTCAGTCATAGTGGTGAGTTCAAGTAAAGAAAGTGAAAGCACCTAGCACATTAGTAGGGATGAACATTGAATGAAATTTCAACAGGAAGAATATTAACTGTTATATGTAGAATCAAGACATGAAATAAGTCATTCATAATTAGAAGACTGGAAAATTAGAAGCATATGAGGAAAACCTGGCTGTGTTTGTGATAAAATGTTTAAAAACAACCAAAACCCATTGCCACTGAGTTGATTCCGACTCATAGCAACCCTATAGGACAAACTGCCCAATAGGGTTTCCAAGGAGTCGCTGGTGGATTCAAACTGCCCACCTTTTGGTTAACAGCTGAGCTCTTTTAAACACTGCACCACCAGGGCTCCAAAAACAACCAACCACCCACGATTCTCTGTAACAAAAATAGAGCTATTCAGTCTTTATGCTATTTGCACGCATTTGTCTGATCCTTAATGTTTAATTTTGTGACCAATATTAAAGAATGAGTTAAATACTTTCAGAGATCTTAGATAATCAACAGAAATGATTATTAAATGATTAACAGGTTAGAAAGAGTACCTGTGAGAAATTTTGGAAAGGAGTGATTATTTTGTTTTGGTTGAAGATGTGGGGAAATTATGTAACTTTTCCACAATAAACTTTTGGGTATAAAAACTGTCTTTAGGCTATTACTTGAAGTGAAATATTAATCTTTGAGACAGTCCTAGCATAAACATTTTTATCTTGCAGTCTCATTGCAGAGTGATTAACAGAGTGATTATTAGAGTACAAGCTAAAAAGAACTTCCGAAATTTGTAACTTTATGGTACCTTTATATAATACCTTATTCTGAACCCCTCATCCATGTGATTTCAGTTTTCTAGGAGAGAGCCTTGCTTTGTCCACTATCACTAAGTGTATTAGGACCATGTATTTGTTTAAAACTATTTATTCAAAAACCTACTATGTGCCAAGTTTACTTGGGATAAATCAGTGAATGAAACAGATAAAAGCCCCTGCCCTCCTTGAGTTTACATCCTACTGGGCAAAGACACATGATTAATAATACAAATAATAAATGACAATGATATATAAGGTAAGAAGATGAGGAACACAAATGGAAAAAATAAGTCATGGTAAGGAAATTGTGGAGTGAGGTAGTTTTAAATAACACCCTTGTTAAATCTGTTAAACAAATGCTGTGTTGTTTATTGAGCAGACTTTCTGTTTTCTTAGTAGTTATTGGAGTTTGGAAAATACTATGATGTGAGCTATATAAAACAGCTTTCATTTGTATAATGCTTAATAGTTTTTCAAAGCAGAAGCTGTTGCACACATGTCTTTACAGTCCTCTCAAAATAGCACTGTGATGTAGGGTTGGCATTGCTTTCATTTTGCTTGTTAAGAAACGAAAAGTATCTTGCTCAGAGTTACTCTTAAATCAGTGTCCAAGGTAAGACTGAACCCGACATCTCCAGATTTCCAGTTCGGGACTTTTTTCCCCTATAGTATCTTAAACTATAACCTCCTTTTTTTTTTTTTTTTGGCTTACTGGGATATCCATAAATTTACATAATGATGAACTATTATTATTACAACTGTAAAAACTCCATAAATCTTAGCTGTCCTTTATCATTTTTATCCTGGGAAATTGTGGCTTTTTCTTCTAATCTTTTTACTGTTATTTGACTGATAGGATCAAGCAGAACAGTTCTTTAGAAGTGGCCATACAAACAACTGGGCAGTTTTGGTAAGTATATTCTATAAAGCTATATGTTGCTGTTCACATGAGGTATATATCTGAGAAATTTTGTGTGAATCTGTTTTTGAAAATAAAAATTTATTTTCTTATGTCTTATAACAGAAATTCTTGAATAAATTAGGGGTGCTACTATTTAAAGCAAACATTTTATAAAATGTAAAATTCTTTTATTTTAATGCTGGAAACTAGTAATTATATTTCTGATCTATAATGTGAGTTTATACATACTCTCTAATTAGGCTATTTTATTTTTACTCTTTCTTAAATTGTTTTGTCTGTTAATAAAAATAATATATGATCGTTGTGGAAAATTCAAATTATATAGCAAGGTTTAAAAGAAGATGGGGTTAATTTTATGTTATGTGAATTTTGCCTCTGTGGGGTAAAAAAAAAAGACAACAGAGAAAATATCTTTAAGTCCCACATCCCAGGGTCAACATTTTGGTGAATATTCTTCAAGACCTCTATTTATATATAAACATAAAATTATATAGTTATATGATTTTATATAAGTGGGATCATATTATACTTGTTATTTTTTCAACCTCTTAGCAGTATATTTTCTCTCTTTCTCTCTTTTTCGCTCTTAGCAGTGTATCGTGGGGATTTTTCCTCTGCCAATAGATATGGAAATATATAATCTTTTCAAAAGCTGAATAGTTTTCTATTTTATGAATGTACCATAATCTCCAGTTCATGGGCATTTAGATATTAAAAAATTCATTATTTTTTAATAGGGTTGTGTTGACCATCCTTATCCATACATCTTTGAGAACTTGACTAATTTTCTTTTTAAAATAAATTCCTCGACATCAGAATGTGAACTTATGAGTCAGAATTGCACTCTGGAAAGGCTGTACCTCCTTTTCTAAACCCAAGTCAACTGCATTATTAATTTTTTCTTTTCTTTAACTGCTAGATAACAGATTAAATTTTGTTTTAATTTGCAGTGCTGTGATTATTAGTGAGGTTTGATTATTGGCCCATTTTGCTTCTTCTGTCCTTTTTTTTGTGTGTGTGTATATTTATTGTTGTTGTTGTTAGATTGCCATCGAGTTGGTCCCGACTCGTAGGGACCCTACGTACAACAGCACAAAACATTGCCTGGTCCTGTGCCATCCTCACAATCCTTGCTATGCGTGAGCCCGTCGTTGCAGCCACTGTGTCAGTCCATCTTGTTGAGGGTCTTCCTTTCTTTTGCTGGCCCCCTACTATACCATCTTTAATTTATCTGTATTCATAAATTTGTGTTTTTAATTCTCCAAATTAGAATACATGTAATCAGTTTTGTTTTTCCTATGCTTGGAAAATATTTGGATAATAGTTTCACTACTGTGGTTTCATTTAATGACATTTACATGATCAGAAGAAACAATAATATTGACTTAATGGAAAAAATGTGTAAGAGTAGACTGAAAGAAAGGACAAAGTAGTAAGGGGTAGGCTCCAAGAGGCAAGATAGGAAATGGATTTTTGAGAAAAAAGAAAGGGAGCAGAGAATATACAACATCTCAAAGCCAGTAGGTCATATTGGAAAAAGAGGAAAATAGGGGAACACAAACTGTAAGAATATAGTGGAAATGTAAAGGAGATGGAGAAGGAGTTCAACTAAAAGTGTAGAACAAGTATATATAAGACTATAATTAACATTACTAAGACCAAAAGTAGGAGCCCTGGTAGTGCAGTGGTTAAGAGCTCCTCTGCTAAACAAAGGTTTGCAGTTTGAATCCACCAGCTACCCCTTGGAAGCCCTATAGGGCAGTTCTTCTCTGTCCTGTAGGGTTGCTTTGAGTTGAAATCGACTCAACAGCAATGGGAAGGGCAATAGTAAGGAGCCCTGGTGGCACAGTGGTGAAGTGCTTGGCTGCTATCCAAAAGGTTGGCAGTTGGAACCCACCAGCCGCCCCACAGGAGAAAGATTTGGCAATCTGCTTCCGTAAAGATTTCCAGACTTGGAAACCCTATGGGGCAGTTCTACTCTGTCCTGTAGGGTCACTATGAGTTGGAATCAACTCGATGGCAGTGGGTAATGGGTGTGGCCAAAAAGGGATTGTCTGAAGGTTTGAGGTCTTTTAAGATTATTGAGAATAGTTTCATAAAAGCCTGTAATTATCTATAGGTTGCTAAAGTAAATAGTGATCATGGTTGCTATACATATTTGTAATATATATAATTGAATGGCAGTTAAATATAACAATGTAACATGGGTTCATGGTTCATTTTCTTGTTCTCCAACAGAGAACACCTTCTATAATATGCTACCCCTCACAAGAGATCTTATGAAGGAATTGAACAAAAGCTGGTTGAGATAGGAAAACATATTTGTAACTACTGCTAAAAAGTGAGGAATACTATCAGGAGCCAGGCTATGATTCACAAATTTGAGAGAATATTCACTCTATTGAAACTAAGGGCTCTTGTTTGGTCAATTGACAAAAGAACTCATCCTTTAGAACTAAGAGCCTATTAGCTTATTTTACATACACATTATATAGCTTTCCTTGTTCTGGGAAACCCTTAACCAAGCCCCTCTCTATATCAGTAATTTAGGTCTCAGATGAGAAATAGAGGGTGGAAAAGAATTATTGCTGAGCATTTTACAACAACTGCAATTTTTGTATTTTGCTCAATATTTTATACTTTAATTCAGACTTAGTATGGTGAAACTTCAATAAATTGTACTTCCTTAAGTGGAAAATTATGTAATTTGACCGGAACCAAGTTCAAAGTACTAAAAATGCATTTCTTTCAATATCATGTGATTCAGATTTAAAAAATCTAGTCTTCCCCCCACCTCAATTTGAATTAATTTGTTTTTAGTCTTGACTAAATAATTGGAGGTAAGCAAAATGCCCTTTTGCTGTTGTAAAATGACTGAGAAAACTTTTGCCACCAGAGGGAGATAGAAGGAAAGTTAGATTCCGTTTTGGTCTCGAGCTCTGCTTTGTATAAAACATTTTTGTCTCTGTTTAATAAAAAATTATAAAATTATCCATGCTCATGATTTAGGAAAAAAGTATAGTGAGGAAGGGTATAAACTGAAAAGTTAAAGTCCCTTTCTTGGGCCCCCCATTTTATTCTCTAATGGTAACCTATGTTAACAGTTTCTTGAGCGCCCTTTCAGACATTTCCAATGCATGTAATCACATTTGTGTCTATCCCTCTCCCCCTTTTAAAATGCGATATGCTCTTTATGTTGTTGTTTTTGTGTAGCATTGTAATTTATATTGATGTTTCCTGCTCCCTTTTGTTTTCCCACCTGAATTTCCTGTCTAGTAAATTGATGATAAAAATGAGTGCAGTTTCTTAGCTTGTTATTAAATAACATAAGACATATGAAAAACGTTTTGTGTATAGAGAAGTAGATATGAAAAATACTGCCTTTGATTATGACTAATTCAGATGTAAATTATGTTGTACTATTTCTGCCTCAGGTTAGGGAACCTGCAGATTCTTTGCTATTCATGGCCAGTGCTTTGGTTTCCAGCTTTTTTTTTTTTTCTTCAAATACAGATAATGTTATAGGGAAAATCCTTATATACATATTTTTGCATACTTATATGAGGTAAATCAAAAGATAGGTAAATTTTCCAACTTGATGTATATTGCAAATTACCCTGCTGTAAGTGTCTTAGTTATCTAGTGATGCTATAACAGAAATACCACAAGTGGATGGCTTTAACAAAGACAAATTTATTCTTTCACAGTCTAGGAGGCTAGAAGTCTGAATTTAGGGTGCCAGCTCCAAGGGAAGGCTTTCTTTCTCTGGGGGAGCTTCTCAGTGCGGGGACCTCGAGTCTAAAGGAAGCACTCTGCTCCTGGTTTTTCATTCTTGGTGGTAGGGGGTCCTTCTCCTCTCTTCTCGCTTCTCTCTTTTATATCTCAAAAGAGATTGATTTAAGAGATAACCTAATCCTGTAGATTGAGTCCTGCCTCATTAACATAACTGCCTCTAATCCTGCCTCATTAACATAACTGCCTCTAATCCTGCCTCATTACCATCATGAGGTTAGGATTTACAACACATAGGATAAATACATCAGATCCCAAAATGGAGGATGACTGCACAATACTGGGAATCATGGTCTAGCCAAGTTGACACAATTCAATCCATGACAGTAAAGTTTATATTAATTCACATTCCCATATGTAAGAGTACTCATTTCCCCACACCCTTGCCAATACTGTGAATTGTCATACTTTGATGCTTATCAATCTAATTTATATTTTTAAAATTATGACTGCAGCTGAGCATCTTTCAGTGTTTTATTGTCCATATTTAATACTTTTGTTATGAAATGCTTGCTCTTATCCTTTGTCCATTTTTCAAAATTAGATAGTTCATCTTTTTCTTATTGAGTTATAATTAAGGACATTAGCCCTTATAATATTATTCTGAGTTTTTCATTTGAGTTAGAATTTTATGGTATTTTTAACATAGGGAATTTTACATTTTTATATAGTCAAAACATTAAGTGTTTTTCTTATTGGCTTTCAGATTGAGAATCCACTTTAAGAAAAATACCCAGTAGTTCTTTTCTCTTTGGCAAGGTCAAGAGCATTTATGCCATCTTTAAACTGTCATTATACCTACTATCAGCACCGACATGTGGTAGGAGGTAGGAGGGTACTTAGTGGTTATACTACGAAACCCCATCTTTGTTTAGTTCCCTTAGAATGAATTCCCAAGAAGGCTAACTTTTGAGGCACGGAGTTAAATTTTCCTAGCATCTTTGATATCATTTTTAGGCACCAGGGTTTTTTTTTTTTTCAAGTGTAAAACTTGGTTTAATTGTTTCTATTTCCTGTTCAGTTCAACAGGTTCTTCATAATTAATGCAGTCTCTTAGCTGCATATAAAACTGTTTTGTATGTTATATTTTCCTCTGTGTCCTACATTTCTCACAACTAAAATTAAGAAGCAATTTAGATTGAAAGGAATACAATATAACTCAAGGTAGCTAATTTTCTTTTCTATTCTCTGATGAGATTATGGGCATTTTCTTTCATTCCAAAGAACTTAAATCTTTTAGAAATAGGAACATTATAGCATCACTGAAATAGAGAGTAACGAAATTGGTAAGTACTTGATTAAATTCCCCCAAATTTATTTTTCTCTTACGCTGAATAGCTTTTATTATTTAATATCAAGTAATTAAAGACCTTTCTAGAGAGATTAGTTTTATTGACAATCCTTAAGTCCTTAGCAGTTTCTAAGCATGAATTATGGTATACTCTTTCTTTAGGCATCTCAGTCTTCTACTTAAAGAGAAATAATTCTGTAAGTCCATGACTTATTTTGATTCATAAGAATAATGTATTTGTTTTAATACTTTAGGTGTGTACATCCCGATTCTGGTTTAATTATCGGCATGTTGCAAATACTCTTTCTGTGTATAGAAGTGTCAAGAGGCTAGGTATTCCTGACAGGTAAGAAACTTTAATAAAGCTTACCTCTGAAACTCAGCAAAAATCACCCTTAGATGATTGCTCTTATGTTTGTATTTTATGTTGCTTTTGGAAAAGGTAAAGAAGGCTGATTTGAAATTTTTCTCTTGTTTTTATTAGAGCATACCACCATGTATGAAGTAGATGTTACTTAAGATTATAAAGGCAATTTATATGAAAGAATAATCAAATACAAGGTAAAAAGATTGAATCAAGTATAATTGTGTAGTGTCATTCATTTAATTATTAAATGTCTGGCCAGAGTTGCAGGCAACAGAGACAATTTTGACTGATTTAATTAAGCAGAAAAGGAAAGTTATTGAAAGCATATTGTTTAGTTCAGCTAATTGCTGGGCAAGCTGAAGCCTTAAATTATCAGGAACAAGGGAGGCTAGACAACGGAAAAGACATAGCTAAAAATCATGGCATAAAACCAGTCCAGTGACAATAATGTGGCTGTCATCTCTTAATACCAGCCTTAGTCACTGCGTAGCTGCTACTGTTGCCTTCGGAAACAGTGTTGCTACTGCCGTCTGCTGCCCAAATCCAACCTTTGCTGTTTTAGCTTCTTACTGTCTCTAGCTCTTATATCAAAGTCCTTGCTGAGAATGTTGTACTGTCAGATGTCAGAGCTTAGGTCAAATGCCTGTGTCCCTGCTGCAGAGATGGCTGGAAGAATGAGTACCTGACATTGTTACCATCTGTATAGGGAGAGGGTTCTGCCTCCTATGACGATTCATAAAAAGGGATATTTCCTAATTATGGGGAGAGAGTTGAGGTACTGGCAGCACCCCTACACCTCCATCCCGCAGATACATGCCCTCTGTGTTTGGTTTGTCATATGTTTTTACTACTACCAAAGCAGTTATAGCAAGGAGCTGCAGTCAATTCAGTTATTTAGTTTGATTTATTTAGTTCCATGTTCTTTTCTACCTGTGAGGCAATGTAGAAAGAGCTTTGTAGTCAGACAAATCTGAGTTTGAAATCTAGCTTTATCGGTGATTTTGATTAAATTACTTAACCTCGCTAAGCCTGTTTCCTCATCTAGTACTTGGTGATAATAGTACCTTCTTTGCGGAGTTCAAGTACTTCCTGTAAAAACAAAGAGAGGTATGTATAAAGTGGTACATGAGCAGAAAGGAAACAGTGAATGATTTAGAAAACAAAGTTATATTACATTTTATGTGAATGGATAATTTTAGCCTGAGAAGTTGACAGAGCTATAATTTAATTCCCGTAATTTCACTTGGAAATTAAGACAACCAGATAATATTACCATTTCTAAAAACTATGTTAAATGAAGTCAGAAAGAAGATGATTTGTTGTATCAAGTGTACAGATATAATTTGTGTAATTAGTCAATTATTATAATTTTTCATTGATTCTTCTCAAATAGGTCTACGTGGTTACTCCTTAGACTTTGAGTTTTTAGCTGCACTTTTATACCCTATGTACTCCTCCAGGGAATCACTATGCATGGTTTGGCAATATTTTTCACTTTGGTAAATGAATCTTTGTCTGTTCCGTGAGTCTTTAGGATACGCTTAAACAGATTAAGATTTGGAGGGACTTTTTAAAACTAGAATATAGCAATAGGATGTATTTTGTATGTTGTGCTTTAGTAAATTTATCCTAGGTTTCCAAAGAATGTTTTTTAAAAGCTTATTTCTGTTTCAAATGATTACCTGTCCACGTCTCTGTTTATGAAGTCTTTGTTGGGTGGTGAATTGGGGATTTAAACAGTTTGTTAGTTAAGAAGTAGAAATCAACAGAAAGGATTCTCTTTGGCTTTTAGCCTATTGTGGTAAATCCTCCTCTGATTAGTGACTTAAGCCATTTTACTCCTCTCTGGAATTGAGTATAAAAATACAAATATAGGTAAACTTCTAGTCAGAAAGTAATAAATCATTATGAAACAACAATTTGAAAGTTTTAAATCATTAGGAACTGTTTTGTTTTAATTATTTTATATATTATAAAAGATTTTCATATTAAAACAGTATTATCATAACTTCTGTCATAATTCCAGAAGTATATCCTGAGTGAAATGATTGGTCATAAGATTTATGACTAGATTTCCTTTTGTTTCTTTGTATTTTTTTGAAAGAGCATTTTACCCTTGTCTTGAAATTCAAAGTATTTGTATTTAGTTTTCCTATATGTTTCATGGGGCCCTGGTGGCACAGTGGTTAAGCATTTGGTTGCTAACCAAAAGGTCAGCAGTTTGAATCCACCAGCCGCTCCTTGGAAACCCTGTGGGGTAGTTCTACTGTGTCCTACAGGGTCGCTATGAGTCGGAATCCACTCGACAGCAACAAGTTTGGTTTTTTGTTTTTCTATGTTTCATTAAGAAATTAGCTCAATGCACAAGTCATTTATTAAAATATATGACACAGATGATTGTCTTTTATTTTGGAAGTTCACACGAAGTCCGTAGGTCCCAACTGAAATGTCACATTAGTTATGTCACTACAATTGTTCTGGTTTCTCTCTGGTCTTCTGTATGTGTTTCTCATACTTCAGACGTGCTGAACCATTCTCTCTGCTGAAATGGTCATCTGTACTTCTAGCTCACTGCAACCCAAACCTGGCTATGATTCTGAATCACTTATGGCACATAACTAAAAAAAAGAATTTCCCAGCTTCACCCTTGGTGATTCTAATTCATTAAATCTGAAGTGAGGTCAGAACATCATCTCTATATGTGGTTATGATGCACAACCAAGTATGAGAAACACAAATTCACTTTACTCAAATACTCCTTCCAAGGAGCATTTCCTGACACCCATAGCATCCTTTGTATACTTTTTATCATAACCCTGTTGTACTAATTAGAGTATATCGTCCCTTATTAGAGTGTAAATTCCTTGAGAGGGTTTACAGAGGGTTATGTTTTATTTCATTTTGTATCTCCAGCATCTAACATAGTACGTGGCACAGAGTAGGTGCTTAGCAGCTGTTGGATAAATAAATAAAAGTACTTGGAAATATGTTTTTCAGTTGCTCAAACAAAGCAAACACAAGCTTATACTTTAAAAGTGCAAACATTTCTATCCCCTAAATTGTGTTAGTCAAATTGTTAGCAAAGGAGCCCTGGTGACACAATGGTTAAGCGCTCAGCTGCTAACCGAAAGGTCGATGGTTTGAACCTACCCAGCGGCTCTGCAGGAAAAAAGACCTGGTGATCTACTCTGGTATAAGATTGTTGTTAGGTGCCGTCAGGTCGGTTCCAACTCATAGCGACGCTATGTACAACGGAATGAAACACTGCCCAGTCTTGCTCCATCCTCACAATTGTTCCTATGTTTGAGGCCATTGTTGCAGCCACTGTGTCATTCCATCTCATTGAAGTTCTTCCTCTTTTTCACTTACCCTCTACTTTACCAAGCATGATGTCCTTCTCCAGGGACTGGCGCCTCCTGATAACATGTCCAAAGTATGTGAGACAAAGTCATGGCCATCCTTACTTCTAAGGAGCATTCTGGCTGAACTTCTTCCAAGACAGATTTGTTTGTCCTTCTGGCAATACATGGTATATTCAATATTCTTTGCCAACGCCATAATTCAAAGGCATCAATTCTTCAGTCTTCCCTATTCATTGTCCCTGGTAAAGATTACAGCCTAGGATACCCCATGGGGCAGTTCTACTCTGTCCTGTAGGGTTATATCCTATAGGGTCACTATGAGTTGGAATCAACTCGATGATAGACAACAACAATTGTTAGCAAATATCAATTTGATATTAAAGATATTTTAATAAATAGGCTACCGGAATTTTATAGTACTGTTTCAAAATATTAACTCAGGGAAGAGAAGTTTTATGGTTCTGGGGAAAAGTGAAACAAACATGCTAAGACCCTAATAAGTGCCTACTAGCTTAACTATTGTCCCTGGGTAGCGTAAATGGTTAAACTATTAGCTGAAAAATTGGTGGTTCAGACCTACTCAGAGGTGCCTCAGAAGACAGTGCTGGTGATCTGCTTCTGAAAGATCACCGCCTTGAAAACTGTGGAGCAGTTCTACTCTGCACACATAGGGTTGCCATGAGTCGGGCACGACTCTATAGTAGCTAACAACAAAAACAGTTACTTGACTGTTACCATTTTCATACCTGAGTTCCATGGCGGAGATGTATCTTCCGCTTTGTACCAACTCTTTCAGTAATCTTACTAAACCCTAGGAGTTTTGTTTTTTGCCTAGTTTTAGCATCTTGAAACAGTTAACTATTTTTAGACAATTTTCTACCCTCAAATGGTTGTTTTGAAGTATAATCCCTGTTTAGCTACCTTCAGTATGCTTAAGATGGTTAATAGATGAGGAAGAGAGAAGGCATTAAGCAAGGATTAGGTTCTAAAGTCAGTTATGTGAAGCAAAAATTGAGCTGAAGTTACCCTTAAAAATTTCTTAAATAGCACATAAAATACAGTACAGTCTTTTATCAAGGCCAACACAGCCAGGTTTGTTTTTTTTTTTTCCTCCAGGGCTAGAGCAGGTTACTATTTTCTTTTGTTGATAAAGCGATTTGTTTGTGATTAGGGACCATGTTATATGAGAAATACACGTATCTTTAACACTAGAATCGTGGTGCTCGTGCTATGAGAGACGTGGGAATTGAGATTGACTGAGGGAATGTAGGTTCATAGCTCCCATCTCATGTTTGCTCTGCATTTAGTATTAGGTTGGGCGAAATCTCTTTTTCTTCTTCTCCTCTTTCTCCTCCTCCTCCCCCTTCTTTTTTGCTGAGTGTATAAGATTAAGTTCATGGAGTAAAAAAATGATTTAACTCTACCATAAGTTGGGTGGATGTGAGTTTTTGTAATGAGCCCTGTCTGATGAACCATCTGTTTCTATACTTAAATCCAACAGCTTTTCTGACTCCACTTTACACTATTTTTTCCTTACTCTGTGTTTCAATTTTTGATGTGAGAGTAATATTTCTAATTTTTCATCTCCTCTTATTCAGAAATTTTTAGCATATGCAT